GCACATTTGATAACTATGCCCCCAATACCGTCATCCAAGTCATTAATACACACACTGAAGTTTGGATGTTGACAAAATGCTATTTGTAGACAACAGAAGTCAATCCGCCACCTCCTCTTTTTCCATGCAAATAAATGTGCTGAGCATTATTTAAAGTCTGAAGTGGTTTAGTAAGCTCTACAACAACCCTGCAAAGCAGGCTGGCATGACTCTCTGTCAGTTTGTACCAGAGAGGATGCCTGCTCAACTACAGATCCTCACATCATTTGCAATCCCTGCATGTGTTGCACTGACTCTCAACCTCCAGCCAGAACATGTGCTCCTTCATTTTAGACTGGTCCCTGGAAAAGCAACATGGAGCCACGATTGCTCTCTCCAGAGCCTCCCAGTTTAGACTGGGAGCATTTATTCTTCCCCAAATATTCAGAAACATTTACTTTCAAGGGGATTTTTTTTAAATTCAAGAATAAATGCTGCATTTTCTGGAGAGCCAACCTCCTCTGAAGAAATCTTGCCAAGAAACCCCGATGATAGGGTCGCCATAAATCGGAAATGACTTGAAGATATGCAAGAATAACCATTAAAAACAAGAACTAAGCAATTGATGGTGGTAGTGGTGCTTCCCATGCCAGCAGGGCTTTTAGTCTGAATGTGAAAGGAGTACATTTACTCAACCTGTCTTGGGAAGCAGCCCCTTGGACTGGTCCTTTAAAGTTCGGACTGATACCCAGAGTGGATTTGCCATGAACCCATGGGAATCACCACTCTGCCCCAGACACCGAGGGGGGACAGGATCTTCCAGAAAGTTCTCCTGGACTTGCCCTCTTGCTCAGCTAGCTCTCTTTCTTTGCAAGGAGAAGCTTGCAAGGGAAAGTCCAGCTGGATCAGGCCCAGAGAAAACTTTGCTTCCTTGCAGCCGCTACCGTACTTGGAAAAAGCATCACTCTCTTTCTCTTCTGCGGGCACAGAGCCTAATGCTGCTACCCTGTTATGGCTCTTGGCATGCAGAAGGTCTTCTGGGTCCCCCTTCCACTCCTGCTGACCTGGATGGGACCCCTTGAGACCATCTTTCCAAATAGCTGCCACCACCTGGGGAATTGCCTTCTCTTCCCTTCCCTCCTGTTTAGCAACAAACCAGGATTTTGCTGGGGGGAAATCCACACATACCCTCCCTTTCCAACTTAGGAAAGCCCTAGCCGAGCCAAGGCCTGTGAAAAAGGAGTGTGAGAGAGGCAGGGGACTTTAAAGAAAAGCTTTATCTTAACTAAAGATGTTCTCTCTAGAGCAAGGGATATCACTACATGCACAATCCCTTGTCCTACAGGCATACAGAAATGTACCGGTAAGTTACAGAATACAGTCATTTCAGCCTAGCCAGTAAACTCTAATGCCACTAACCAGTACAGGTTCCTAGCCTTACTTACATCTCAGATGGGATTTGTAGTCCTTGGTGTTTCTGGACAGCCAGGAGAGCCTGGACTCCATGGTCCAGTTCGACCAGTTCCTTGTGGCGTACCTCAGGGCAGTCAGCCCCCAAAGGCAAAGCGTGTGCAACGGTTGCAAGGTCTATTTCCATCATGCCGAAACTCTTCCCTGTATCTGCAGCAGAGCAAAATCAGAAGCACTTACCTGTTAGGAAAAGGACAGAGGGAGCTTGGGGGAGAATAAAGAGGAGATGGGATGAGATCTGCTTCCTAGTGTTAGCCAGGTAGATCTTCTCTGGCTGAAAAGCATCCTTCCGCATCCTCCTTGGTCTGCCTCCCCAACTCCAAAGCTCACCTCCTTAAGCGTGCAATGGACT